AAATTTGAAATGATAATCGAATATGTTTGTTGTTTGTGAGAACCCCTTGAATCATTACATTACTTGATTGAAAGGGTTCTCAACGATTTATGGAACGTATATATTTATATGCTTTCCATATTTTTCTTTCTCAGGTTCTTTACTCATTTTTAGTCAATTAGATGTAAATGAACCATAACTATGTAGTCCTATTCCTAATAGATTGATCCCCAAATAACATATCCAAATTATAAGAAATCCTATAGAGGCCACTATTGAAGAATTTACACCTTCTAATTTTTTATTTTTTCTAGTATGTAAATAAATCGCGAATATGGTCCAAGTAATAAAGGCCCAAGTTTCCTTTGGATCCCAATTCCAATAGGAACCCCATGCCTCGTTAGCCCATACTGCTCCTGAAAGAATACCTATCGTTAAAAAGAGAAAACCCAGACTAATAATACGATAACCCCAACGATCCAATTGTTGAATAAATTGAGACCTGTAATAATTTATAGAAGAAGAAAAAGAAGTTTTTCGTAAAACATTGTTTCTTTCATTCCTATTCATGTATTTGATTTCAACAAAATCAACTGATTTTTTTAAAGAATCCAAATTCTTGGTAAAAGCAAGAATTTGGATGACTTCTTGAAACGTAATGACTAAAATAGCCACTGATAATAATGATCCACATAAAAGAGCTGCATAGCCCAGTATCATCATACTTACGTGTATCATTAGCCAATGGGATTGTAGAGCGGGTACTAATATTACAGATTGATGCATTTTGGTTAAAAGACCCGAAGTCGCAAAGCCTTGGGTAAAAATAACACTTGGTGCAATTATTGTACTTAAAAGGTTTTTCTCCTTTTTAAAAAAAGGAACCATATGAAAAATTGAAAAACCCCATGAAAGAAAGATTAGGGATTCATATAAATCACTAAATGGTAAATGTCCCGAAAAAAACCAACGAGTAATTAACAATCCCGTTACACAGAAAAAACTTATTATCATGGCTTTTTTGGACAAATCATATAATCCTACGATTTCATTGCCTAATAAGGTTATCAAATGAATTGAAATAACAATTGATATCACGGAAAACGATATATGAGTTAATATATGCTCTAAAGTTGTAAATATCATATATATAATGAAAATAAAAATATCTATAATGAAAATAAAAAAGGTATGAATTGATGCTGATGTGCATCTTACATAGTTAATGATGCAGAACTTTTTCAGTTCATCCTATTGGCTCGTCCTAAATAAGTATAGCTCCATCCAATTTTGGAATCTCAATTAATCCCTATATTATTGTCTTTTTTATTTCTCAATTTTCTTATTTATACCATCCTAATCTAGAATAAGATTAGGAATGAAACCTCTATTATTCTGTCTAATCTATAAGAAAAAGAAAATGTACATACAGATATTTCTTTAATATCTGGGGTTGTCGAAGTTCAGATTACTTTCTGATTTTTATCATTTAGTGAGCATCTTGTATTTCATAAAAATTGGGGGCGATATAATCTTTACGCAAAGGCCATCCTATCCAACTTTCGGGCATTAAAATATGTTTCAGACGCGGATGATTATCATAATAGATTCCTAACATATCATAAGATTCCCTTTCTTGAAAATCTGCACTTTTCCAAACCCAGAAAATAGAAGGAATTCTCGGATTTTGCCTTGGGGTAAATACTTTTATGCATACCTCTTCGGGTTGATCTAGACTATACTCTATTCTCGTAAGATGATAGACACTCTCTAATAGTCCTCCTGGTGCTACATAATAGGCACATTGGGAACGTAGATAATTGTAACCATATACATATAAAATAACAGCAATCGAATGCCAATCCTCGGGCTTTATTTGTAAAGTCTCTATTCCTTGATAATCAAAACCTAAAGATCTATGAACTATTCCGTGTTTGACTAGCCAAGCAGACAAATTACCTTGCATTTTTTTACTTCTCCCGAGTTTTTTATAAGATTGGTATAAGTATTTACCATTTATTTACATTACAATGAAATTTTTGAAGATTGACTTGCTTGCTATTTCTTATTGTATTTTGTACAAAAGGATCCTGTTTAATTCACTTTTTCGTTCGTCGGAGGATACTTAACTTTTTTATATTTCAAAAATGTGTCAGAGGTTATCTCTGAAATAGATGATGGTTGATAGAATAATCCTTGATTATAATTTCCGGTATGAGTACCGCGTCCAACATAAAATTTGTGGTTGGTAGTAAAACACCTATTCTCTCGTTGATAACTAAATTGATCTTCATAGATTTCTCGAGATATTTTCTTACGAAGTTTTGTTATAGCATCTATAACGGCTTCCGGTTTAGGTGGACAGCCCGGCAAATATACATCCACAGGAATTAGCTTATCCACGCCCCGAACAGTACTATAAGAATCGGTACTGAACATACCTCCTGTAATTGTACAGGCTCCCATAGCAATAACATATTTTGGTTCGGGCATTTGCTCATATAATCGAACTAAAGAAGGAGCCATTTTCATAGTTACGGTGCCCGCTGTTAAAATGAGGTCTGCCTGCCTAGGACTAGAGCGTGGTACCAGTCCATAACAATCAAAGTCAAATCGCGATCCTATTAATGAAGCAAATTCAATGAAGCAACAACTAGTACCATAGAGAAGCGGCCATAAACTAGATAGTCTTGACCAATTTGAAAGATCATTTAATGTAGTAGAAATAACTGAATTTTTGGTTTTTTGATCAAGTAAGGGAAACTCAATGGAATTCATAACTGTCTCAATGTTTTGTTTAATTGTCTAAATATTCAAGAATTAAGACCATTCTAATGCTCCCTTTCGCCATGCATAAACTAAACCAACAATTAGGATAAGCACGAAGATGAAAGCTTCTATAAATACGGATACCCCCAATACATCAAAACTCATTGCCCACGGGTAAAGAAAGACTGTTTCAACATCAAAAACAACAAAAACTAGAGCAAACATATAATAACGGATTTGAAATTGTAACCAAGCATCGCCCATCGGTTCTATTCCGGATTCATAACTAGAAAGTTTTTCTGGCCCTTTCCTAATTGGAGCTAAAATTCCAGAAATTAGAAATGCCAAAATAGGAATAAAGATCGATATTATTAGAAATGTCCAAAAAATATCATATTCATAAAGCAAAAACATAAATGTCCTCCTAGGAATGGGGAAAATATACTGGATTCATATTAATTCTGAGTCGATTTGAATTGAAATTTTCAAATTCTTAGATTCATTAATAGAATCTAAATAGAAATGCTTTGTATTTTCTTAAGTTTACTTTTTTCTAATAAAATTGAGATTATTATCTGAGTATACTAATACTCATATTATTCTATCCACTATTAATCTATTCGAATAGAAATTACTTTATTCATTCTTTCTATTACAAAAAGTATTGAAAGTATATTTATACTAGTAGTATTACTAGTATGGAGTATTCAATATAGTACTAATCTAGTACATATAGTATTAGTACATATATATTTGTAATGACAGATATTAGATAAGAAATCTAAATCTGAGTAGTATCGGTAGTAATATTAGGGCTATACGGACTCGAACCGTAGACCTTCTCGGTAAAACACATCAAACTATTATTTATTATTATCAAAATGATTTGAATTGTTTGAAAGACCCAACGTGCATTTTTTTTGCATTGGGCTTTTTCATTAACTGATAGAAATATCAATTAGTCTACCATCTTTTTTCTTTACACAAAGAAAAAGGAAATGACTCCCTGTGCTCTGATTTCTTATTTAGATCAAAATCTAAGAGCACTACCAAAGTTTTTCAAAGAAGAAGGTTATCCTGACGTAGGTCTGCTTCTGGCCTGGATCAACTTAAGTTAAATGGACTCTCTATCAACCTACTTCAATAAAAATATCAAATAGGAAATGAAACTTCATACACCTTAAAGTTCATAAGATAGGAAGAAAAGAGATTTTTTTTGAGGTCCCTAGACTCATTGCCTAGCATTGAATAGATTAAGTATTCACCGTATCAATATCTCAAATCCATTATGGATTCCATTTGACGTCTAAATCCTTTGTCAGGCTATTGTTCTCTTATTTTGTTCCGGGAGTAAGACATCGATTTATCAATTAAGATCAACTCTTTTAATTACATGATGGACTCCTATGAAAAAACATTGGCGCATGTGTAAACGAGGTGCTCTACCTAACTGAGCTATAGCCCTTGTGCTTTGGATACATATTTGATCATATTCGATAAATAAATTCTTGTCAAGATAAATATGACATGATCCAATCTCTTTGATTTATATTGCGTTTGTATTGTTTATAAGTAATATAACATTTATAATCCATTGATCTGATAGACAGCTACTTTTTTTATTTAGGATGATAAATGACCTACTTAACTCAGTGGTTAGAGTATTGCTTTCATACGGCAGGAGTCATTGGTTCAAATCCAATAGTAGGTAAGGTATTGGTAGAACTTATTAGATACCATTAATTCCGGTATCTAATAAGTTTTTCTACTCACCATTGTTTTATTGTAATTTTCTATCTTTTTTCTATTTTTTGGATGCACCAACTTGTTATGAGATCATATTGATAGCCTCTACTCGTGTCCTAGCTCGCCGGAGAGCTAGATTTGCTTCAATTATTTGTCTCTTGCCTTCAGCCTTATTCAAGTTAGCTTCTGCTATTTGAAGAGTTTGTTGTGCTTCTTGTGGATTAATGTCACTACCCCTTTCTGCATCATTTACTAAAATAGTGATCTCATTATTGCCTATTCTAGCAAAACCGCCCATCAGAGCCATCGTTAACCATCGGTCGTTAAGGCGTATTCTCAAAATACCTATATCTAAAGATGTGGCAATAGGCGCATGATTTTTTAATACCCCAATTTGTCCACTATTAGTAGATAAAATAATTTATTTCACTTCTGAATCCCAAACAATTCGATTGGGGGTCAGTACACAAAGATTTAAAGTCATTTCTTGAATTTGTTCTCCATTTCTATGTTAAGTTCGTAGCCTTCGTAGTAGCTTCATCGATATTACCCACCAAATAAAAGGATTGTTCAGGAAGACTATCTAATTCTCCAGAAAGAATCAATTTAAATCCTCGAATTGTTTCTGCTAGACCAACATATTTCCCTGGGGAACCGGTAAATACTTCTGCTACGAAAAAAGGTTGTGATAAGAAACGTTCAATTTTTCGTGCTCTTGCTACGGTTAAGCGATCCTCTTCGGATAATTCGTCCAACCCAAGAATAGCTATAATGTCCTGAAGTTCTTTGTAACGTTGTAACGTTTGTTTCACTCTTTGCGCAGTTTCATAATGTTCTTCACCGACGATGCGAGGTTGGAGCATGGTTGACGTTGAATCTAAAGGATCTACTGCTGGATAGATACCTTTGGCAGCTAATCCTCTTGATAGTACAGTAGTTGCATCCAAATGTGCAAATGTCGTGGCAGGAGCAGGATCAGTCAAATCGTCTGCAGGTACATAAACTGCTTGAATAGAAGTTATAGACCCTTCTTTGGTAGAAGTAATTCTTTCTTGTAAAGTACCCATTTCAGTACCCAGGGTGGGTTGATAACCCACAGCGGAAGGCATTCGGCCCAATAAGGCGGATACTTCGGATCCGGCTTGGACAAAACGGAAGATATTGTCGATAAATAGAAGGACGTCCTGCTCATTGACATCTCGGAAATATTCTGCCATAGTTAGGGCAGTTAAACCAACTCTCATACGAGCTCCGGGCGGTTCATTCATTTGACCGTAGACTAGAGCTACTTTTGATTCCGCAATATTTTTTTCATTAATTACTCCGGATTCTTTCATTTCCATATAAAGATCATTTCCCTCACGAGTACGCTCACCTACTCCGCCAAATACGGATACACCTCAATGAGCTTTGGCAATGTTATTGATCAATTCCATAATGAGAACTGTTTTACCTACCCCAGCTCCACCGAAAAGTCCTATTTTTTCGCCACGGCGATAAGGAGCTAAAAGATCGACTACTTTAATTCCTGTTTCAAAAATGGATAATTGTGTATCTAACTGTATAAAGGCAGGCGCAGATCTATGAATAGGAGATGTTGTGCGAGTATCTACAGGACCCAAATTATCAATAGGCTCTCCAAGCACGTTGAAAATTCGACCTAGGGTTGCTCCACCGACTGGAACACTTAGAGCAACTCCCGTGTCAATCACTTCCATTCCTCTATTTAGACCATCTGTAGCACTCATAGCTACAGCTCTAATTCTATTATTTCCTAATAATTGTTGTACTTCACACGTTACGTTAATTTGTTGGCCAACCGTATCTCGACCTTGAACTATCAGAGCGTTGTAAATATAAGGCATCTTCCCTGGTGGAAAAACTACATCGAGTACCGGACCGATTATTTGTGTGATACGCCCCAGATTTTTTTTGTCAAGTGCAGAAACCTCAGTATCAGAAGGAGGAGGAGTTATTGTCATATTAAAAAATATCCATTTTTTTGAAAAAAAAAATTGAAATTAAGAAAAAACTGTTTGATAACAAAGCAAGTTGATCGGTTAATATTCTTAATTTTCTTAATATTTAATAATATATAAAAGAATAAATGTAAGTTAATAATCGATTTTCTTGGTACCATCCAACCAATTCAATTGTTTTTAAATTTCAATGAGTGAATTTTCAAGGTCAACCCAGTCATTATGAAAATTTTAATTGGATGAAATCTTTTGAACGTCTTTCATTTGTTTATCATTCTAGATTATAGACAATACTATCTATATTATCTATGTAATTCGAACCTGAACTTTGTTTTTTTATGATTCCGTTTTTCTATCTCATTGGTCCTTCTTTTTTCTTTCCTCGGCATAGGATTTATACTATGCAGATTCTTTTTACCAATTTTTCTTTTTATTGGGCAAATTCTGCCGATTTTGACATCTAGGATTTACATATAAAACATATATCACTGTCAAGGTCAAGAGTATATTTTTTATTATTTAGATTAGAAAATGAGATTCCAAAATTCAAAAAAAAAAAAAAGAGACTAAAAAAAAAACGGTTGGGTTGCGCCATACATATGAAACAGTATAGAATAATGATGTATTTGCCAAATCAAATATCATGGTAAAATTGAACAATGACCCATTCGGATTAATTGATAATATTAGTTGATGGATCATTTGTAAAAAGGTTTTCTTAACTCCTAAGTTATGTCGAGTAGTCCTTGTTCTTGCTATAATTCTTAATTCATGCGTTGTAGGGGGGGGATTTATGTCACCACAAACAGAAACTAAAGCAAAGGTTGGGTTCCAAGCTGGTGTTAAAGATTATAAATTGACTTATTATACTCCTGAATATCAAACCAAAGATACTGATATCTTGGCAGCATTCCGAGTAACTCCTCAACCAGGAGTTCCGGCTGAAGAAGCAGGTGCAGCGGTAGCTGCAGAATCTTCCACTGGTACATGGACAACTGTGTGGACCGATGGACTTACCAGCCTTGATCGTTATAAAGGACGCTGCTACGAGATAGAGCCTGTTCCTGGAGAAGATAATCAATTTATTGCTTATGTAGCTTATCCCTTAGACCTTTTTGAATAAGGTTCTGTTACTAACATGTTTACCTCCATTGTAGGTAATGTATTTGGGTTCAAGGCTTTACGCGCTCTACGTCTGGAAGATTTGCGAATCCCTAATGCTTATGTTAAAACTTTCCAAGGTCCTCCTCACAGAATCCAAGTTGAGAGAGATAAATTGAACAAGTATGGACGTCCCCTATTGGGATGTACTATTAAACCAAAATTGGGTTTATCCGCTAAGAATTATGGTAGAGCAGTTTATGAATGTCTCCGCGGGGGACTTGATTTTACCAAAGATGATGAAAATGTGAACTCCCAACCATTTATGCGTTGGAGAGACCGTTTCTTATTTTGTGCCGAAGCAATTTATAAATCACAGGCCGAAACAGGTGAAATCAAAGGACATTATTTGAATGCTACTGCGGGTACATGTGAAGAAATGCTAAAAAGAGCTGTATTTGCTAGAGAATTGGGCGTTCCTATCGTAATGCATGACTACTTAACAGGTGGATTCACTGCAAATACTACCCATTCTCACTATTTCCGCGATAATGGTCTACTTCTTCATATCCACCGTGCTATGCATGCAGTTATCGATAGACAAAAAAATCATGGTATGCACTTTCGTGTATTAGCTAAAGCCTTACGTATGTCTGGTGGAGATCATATTCACGCTGGTACTGTAGTAGGTAAACTTGAAGGAGAGAGGGAGATTACGTTAGGTTTTGTTGATTTACTACGTGATGATTATATTGAAAAAGATAGAAGTCGCGGTATTTATTTCACTCAGGATTGGGTTTCTATACCAGGTGTTATCCCTGTTGCTTCAGGGGGTATTCACGTTTGGCATATGCCTGCTCTGACCGAGATATTTGGAGATGATTCTGTACTCCAATTCGGTGGAGGAACTTTAGGACACCCTTGGGGAAATGCACCTGGTGCCGTAGCGAATCGAGTAGCTCTGGAAGCATGTGTACAAGCTCGGAATGAGGGACGTGATCTTGCTCGCGAGGGTAATGCAATTATCCGTGAAGCTTGCAAATGGAGTCCTGAATTAGCTGCTGCTTGTGAAGTCTGGAAGGAAATCAAATTTGAATTCCCAGCAATGGATACTTTGTAATCCAGTAATAATCATTCGTTCTATTAATTTCCATTAAACTCGGCCCAATCTTTTACTAAAAGGATTGAGCCGAATACAATACACAATACAAAAATACTTGTTGTATCTAGAATGAATCCTATAGATCTTTCGGATTGATCTATTTTTTTTCTAGTTCATTCTTCTTTTTTGATTTGGAATAGAATGAATTAAAATAGAAATATTTTCTATTTAAAAATGAGAATAGAAATATTTTTTTATTTGTTTTCTCGATTGTATTCTTTTTTTCAACACTAATATTGACAACAGTGTATCAAACAAATATAATCTGATCGTGAATCAATGGATGGATTGACTCATGTCACATAGGTTTTTTACTTCATCAAATGGTGGATTCATTGTATTTTGATTTTGTTTGATACAAACAAGAAGTTTTTTTTCTTGAAATAGAAATATGAAAAAAATAAAATAATACTAATTTAAAACTATATTAATAGACAAATAACTACAGTACTGTACTAAACAAGTCGTCTATCATTTTTTATTCTCATTTTTTCTTTTTTTCATTGTATTGTAATATAATGTAATATGTAACATTTGATTCTATTATTTATAGAATTCCATCTTTTTTTTATTGCGATTGGATATACAGATTCTTGTTTGTAATTTTATTAGGGTTGCTAACTCAATGGTAGAGTACTCGGCTTTTAAGTGCGACTCCATTTTTTACACATTTCTATGAACTAATTGGTTCATCCATACCATCGGTAGGGTTTGTAAGACCACGACTGATCCAGAAAGGAATGAATGGAAAAAGCAGCATGTCGTATCAACGGTGAATTCAAAAAAAATTTCATTCATATTGGATCCGACCAATCTTTTTCTTTGAATTGTTGGCTGGGAACAAATGAATTCCGTTGGGTTGAATTAATAAAGGGATAGAGCTTAGCTGCTCGAATTCTAGGGAAAGAAAAAGCAACGAGCTTTCATTTTTTATTGGAATGATTACCACATCTAGTTATACGTTAAAAAAGGATTAGTGCTTGCTGTGGAAAAAGTTTTTCCCACGAATGGATTAAGGATTTTTGTTATGACTCCTAATTATTAGCTATTCCCCATTATGTTATGGGATAGCAAGAAATGTGTAGAAGAAAGAGTATATTGATAAAGATATTCCCTGGTAATTGTTTTAATTTTCTTTCTACTTTTTGATTGTTATTAAACCTTTTTAAAATTTCTTTGTATTTTTTTATTAATATTCCTTAAGTATATTATCGCGAGCCACACATACTTTGTTGCGGGCTAAAACACGATTTTGATAACTAGTCAATGATGCCCTTCCATGGATTCACCTATATACGCCGCAGCTAAAGTAGCGAAAATAAGAGCTTGAATACCACTTGTAAATAATCCAAGGAACATAACAGGTATAGGAACTACTAAAGGTACTAACGAAACAAGAACAACAACTACTAATTCATCCGCTAATATATTTCCAAAAAGTCGAAAACTAAGCGATAAGGGTTTTGTGAAATCTTCTAAGATGTTAATCGGTAAAAGGATTGGCGTTGGTTGGATGTATTTACCAAAATAGGCCAATCCCTTTTTTGAAATACCCGCATAGAAATAGGCTACTGACGTAAGTAAAGCTAATGCAACAGTAGTATTTATATCATTTGTGGGTGCAGCTAACTCTCCATGAGGTAACTTTATAATTTTCCAAGGCAAAAGGGCCCCTGACCAATTCGAAACAAAAATAAATAGAAACAGAGTTCCAATAAACGGAACCCATGGACCATATTCTTCTCCAATCTGAGTTTTGCTCACGTCTCGAATGAATTCAAGGACATATTCAAAAAAATTCTGACCAGACGTGGGAATAGTTTGCGGATTTCTAACAACTAGAATGGTTGAAATTAATAAGATAGCAATTACAACCCAAGAGGTAATAAGTACTTGAGCATGCACTTGAAAATCCCCTATTTGCGAATAGAAATGTTGACCTACTTCCACAGCAGATATATCATAGAATCTGTTTAATGTGTTGATGTAACATAATAGAACATTCATATTGCCCTGTCCTCTAAAATAAAAAAATATACCTTGAAAGGGAATTATTTTGATTCAACCATTTCCTTATTTTACTTTGATTTTCTATTTTGAATACCTAACTAATCACAAAATATTTCTTTTTACACAATTTTGTAATGCTATAATAACCAATTCCAAAAATCTATGACCGCACGCCCAACCAAATCGAAAAATTGATTTATCTTATTATTAATCAATTTTTTCGTATATAGCTAGAACGACCCTCACAAATTGCAAAAACTAATTTGTTAAGAATTAATCCGATGGAAGCTATAGCATCATCATTAGCCGGAATCGAAATATCTGCAAGATCTGGGTCAGAATTTGTATCAATTAAAGAAATCGTTGGAATTCCCAAAGTGATACATTCTTGAAGAGCCGTATATTCTTCTTGCTGATCAAGGATTATTACAATATCAGGTAATCTTGTCATATATTTTATACCGCCTAGATATCTTTCCAAATGAGATAATTGTCTCTTCAACATAGTGGCATCTCTTTTTGGAAGAGAGTTCAGTTTCCCCGTCTTTTGCTCCGTTCTCAAGTCCCTGAACTCACGAAGTCTCGTTTCTGTAGTATACCAATTCGTTAACATACCTCTGAGCCATTTTTTATTAACATAATGACATCGAGCTCTTATTGCAGCCCGTGTTACTGAATCGGCTGCTTTTTTTTTTGTACCAACAATTAAAAATTGTTTTCCTGTGCTTGC